GGTGATGTTGATGATGGTGATGATGAGGATGAAGATGATGGTGATGATGATGAGGATGATAATTATGATGAAGAGGATGATGATGACTTTGTGTGTATGCCCATATTTGGCCTTTGAAAAAGTATTTTTAGCACTTCTGCTGTGTGACAGCAAGAATAAATAAAATAATGTGAATATCTACTTCTTGGTATTCACTTGCCAACCGTCTTTTACTACCTTGGGTTTGGTAAGGCTAGACAACAAATATGATGAATGAATTTTGAGTTTGTCTATTTATTTGTTGTGTTTTTTTCCCCTCCTCAAATACTCAAGAGGTGAGTGTTGTCAAAGGGGTGATGCTATCTGATGGACTGACATCAGTAAAAGGTCTGAGTTCCCAACCAAAGGTGAAAGCTTTCTGGCATCAAGAATTCACAAAGGCCACTAGACAAGACATGCTGGTGGAGTGTCTCTTGTCAGGCTCTTTGAGATATGTCTTTTTTCCAACCCTGAAGTTTTTATCAGACTCTTTCACTCCTAATTTTTCTGGCCATTTAGGCTTGTACCTTTTCTACTGGTAGAGATAAAACAAAAACAAAAACAAAACAAACAAAAAAAACCCAAAAAAACAAAAAAACCAAAACCAGTACATCCTCTGACCTTCCAGCTACTTCTGAGTGTTTTCTGTTGGAGGGCTGTATTTTCTTGCTATAGAACCAAGCCTATTTATCTAAGACTTGTCCTATAAATATGTTTCTGGAATGATAAAAAGAAAAATTAGCTTGGTGGCACATATATTATTTCCAACATCAGGGAAGCAGAGTCAGGAGGGCCATGAACTTCAGGTCAACTAGACCTACATAGGAAAACAACATCCCCAAACCAGAGAGCGAGTAATGATAACTTGGCTTTTAAAATACTGTTTTTCTTCAAAAGAAGTATATGCTTTTTTATGTGCATTTCCTAATTAAGAAATAAAATTGGCCTTGTTTCCTATGACTCTTCTTCAAGAAGCTCTTATTGACACCTTCAGGTGTGTCTCATATTATTCTTTGTGCCTCTCTTCCTCTTAATCCTTCTGCTTAAGCCTATATTAAAGTACCTTTATTAACTCTGTTCTCAAATGAAAGTTTATTTAATAACAGGAAGCAGATCCTAAGCACAACAGTCCTTCATTCTATCCTGTGTTATTTCCTATTCTCTTTCATTAGTCCAATAATTTTTAGTCTTTCTATTTCTTCTAAAATTTACATTCTTTTCTCATCTTTATGTGTGTATACATTTCTGGGCACGTGCACACACACACACACACACCATGCACACACACGCCACACACACACACACACACACACACACACACGCCACAGTGCACATGTTGAGGTCAGAGGACATCTTGTGGGAGGTAGCGTTTTCCTTTCACTATGTGGGTTCCGCGCATTAAACTCAGGCAGTCAGGCTTATAGCAAGCCTTACCTGCTGAGCCGCATCACTGGTCCTATTTTCCTATGTTAAATAACATATGTATTTAGATTTTTTCTTGACCCATTTTGACCTTTTAAGGTTAAGTAGCAGACTATCTGACTGCTTTCTATGGGGGAGGGGGAAGGCTGAGATCTTTTGTGTTCCATCTCCCTTGCATCTGGCTTCTTCCAATCCTGGGGTATTTATGTCTGACACTGGTTGACTTTGTATTATTGAGAACTAAGTCATGCAGCATTCTAGGATTGCTCTTCTAAAATCCCCCCACCCCCTTTGGGGCCAGTTGAAATACAGGTTTTGCTTGCTTGTTTTTCTATACTTTTAGTGTGTGTTCAACCTCCAGTTCTGTACAAGCTAGCATTGCCTTGACATATTTGTGTATATTTCACACGTATTGTCATGCTCATTCATCTGAAGCCTTGGTTCTCTTCAGAAGATGGGGCTTTCTGTCCCATCTTGTCCCACAGCCACTGTACCCCAATAAACACACAGAGAATTATATCAATTTATAAACTGTTGGCCAATGGCTAATAGCTAGCTCTGCCTTAATTATTAACCCATTTCTATTAATCTAAGTATTTCCACATGGTCTTATCTTACTGTAGAAGGGTCTGGACTTGTTACTCCTTCCTTGGCTACATGGCATCTCCTCGTGGTGCCTCTCTGCCTCTCTCTCCAGGATTCTCCTTATCTCCTAGCCCCGCCTATCTTCCTGCCTCTACTGGCCAGTCAGTGTTTTATCCAACAACCAATAAAAGAAACACATATACAAAAGGACATCAACCCCTCACTCTTCCTTCTACTTAAGTTAGTTTTTCTGCAAGTCTGTTGCAAAGCTGCTTGCTCCCCGAGACTTTGGGATTTCATTCCACACCTGTCTCCTATGTTGGTTTCTGCTTGTGCTTCTTTTATTATCCCTGCAACTAAAAGCAGACACAGACAAAGGAGCAAAGAATTAGTTTGGCTTGCAGTTTCAGAGCTGTCATCCTTGGCCTTGGTTCTGTTGATTCTGGGTCCATGGAAGGGCAGCGTATTATGGCCAAAAAGTACCCGATGGAGTTTGAACTTTTTCACCTCATGGTGGCCATGAGACTGGGAAGGGCTGAGGGACACAACAGCCCTGACATCCCCTTCCCCATGGCTGACATCCCCCCTCCACGGAAGCCCCACTCCTGAAGTTTCATTGACTTCCAAAATAGTTCCAGTAGCTGGGGAACCACTCCCCTAACGGATGAATCTTTGGGGGGACATTTCAGATATAAGCATGAATCCATGTTTTTGAATCCTACATCTTTTTTGATCTATTTATTCCTGCTCGGAATTTCTAGGAAAAGGGCAAATTATTAGGAGCTCACTTTCATGAAAATGCTTACATTTTATCCTAATATTTCATCAATATTTTTGCTGAGCATAGATTTTTTTTGGGGGGGGTGGTTTTTCCTCAATCCGTGAAGACATCTTCTCTTTGCCTTCATCTTTAGTAGTACCAGTGAAGTTTTGCTACTTGTGTCCTCTTTGTCTGACTGGTCTTTTTCTCCCCTCTGGAAGTTTCCAGGCTATCCCCTTTATGCTAATAGTCATGTTTGGGTCAGATAAAAACTTTTAAGAGGCTTTCTAGCAAATGCTTGAGGGTATTACCAGTCTGAACTGGAACAAATCTGAACTGAACTATTGGCTAGCACTTTATCAGGCCGTTTATGGAGTCTGAGCGTGGGCCCCAAACCCACATGAGAAGTGATGTGTCCTTCCAAACTTTTAGTGACAATTTCCTATCACACCACTCTTGCCCAAATTGTGAATGGTCGGTTTTTCTGTTGGTTCATTAGAAATAATATGATAGTGTGTGCAAGTGTGTGTGTATGTTTGAGAGAGGGGGGAGGGAGGGAGGGAAGGAGGGAGAAAGAGAGTAAGAGAGTGTGTGTTTTGTGTATGTGTCTATATGCATGTGTGTAAAGTAGTAAGAGTGTACCATAATCAAATCTATCCCTACATCGAAGGTACAACCCTTGGGAATCCCAGAATTCTGGCAGAAGTGGCCCATCAGACTGTGTCAAAGATTGGTGTAGGCTTGCACTTTCCTCTCTGGCCCAGTTTCTCACAGTTCTGTGGAATTCAGGTCTGCATGCATCCCTCAGGTCAACAGTACATGTTTTAGCTTTCTAGGTTCCTGTATTCATTCAAGGTCTGGCCTTACTTTCTTGTATAATGGTTTATGACGATTTAGACAACCATAGGCTTAGTGTTTTGGTCTATGTGCGCAATCTGAGCAGCAAAGAAGCTGAGGCAGAAGAGACCCCATCTCAAGAAAACTTCTGTCTTGTCCAGGAGTTGAAGTTATTTTCAATGATGAAGATACATATCCTGTTGACTTCCTGGACATGGAAGTCTATGTCACCTTTATAATTCTGTTTCCTCATTTGAATCATGTACTGTGTAGGATAAACAAGAATGTAAAACTTCTGTGCCTGGCACCTGTAATTAATACTGATTTTTGCTTTTTGTCAGCATTGGCGTGTATCCAAGGCCTCATACATGCTAAGTAGCGTTTTGCCATTGAGCTGTATCTTAGACCTCATAATTTTTTATTTTCAGAGAGTCTCATTGATTTGACCAGGCTGGCCTTGAACTTATTCTACAGCCCAGGCAGTCTGTGATTTGGAATCCTCTTGATTCAGCCTCTTGAGTATCTTGAGTCTTCATGCCTGGCTTATTTAAACATCCTTTTTTCCTTCCTTCCTCCCTCCCTCCCTTCTTCCCTTCCTCCCTCCCTCCCTCCTTCCTTCTCTCTTTCTCTGTCTCTCCCTTCCTTCCTTCCTTCCTTCCTTCTCTTCTTCCCCTCCCTCCCTTCCTCTCTCCCTCTCTTCTTTCTCCCCCCCCCCCATCATTATCCCCCTGAGACAGGGTTTCTCTGTTTAGCCTTGGCTGTTCTGGAGCTAGCTTTGTAGACCAGGCTGTCCTTGAACTCAGAGATTCACCTGCCTCTGCCTCCCGAGTGCTGGGATGACAGGTGTGGGCCACCACCACCCTGCTAACCTTTTTTTAAAGGGGGATTCTCAGAATATAAATGTCAGTCACGCAATCCTACTGTTTTTCACTCTTGGACAATTTCATATGTGCATATAATGTGTTTAGATAACATGCACCCTTCTCCTCTCTTAGCCCTGTCCCGCCTCCTTTGGATGTCTTTTTCTAACACATCCCCTCCTTTCTCACTCCTTTTAAAATAGCCTAGAGTTTAAGTAAGGTTGTTTGCTTGCATGCACACCAGTGTGGGGTTATTTAGTAGATCATTAGAGACTTGCCAATGGCTACGCACCCAAAGAAAAATGACCTCCCTGTCTCCTAGCAGCGCATAACTGCCCATACATTCTCAGCCAGGGATGATCCTCAGGTGCCCTCCCCTATCCATGATTCAGCGTTGTCCTGGTCTATCTTGTGCAGGGAACCATAGCTTCTGTGGGTTCATGACTCTACTGAAATACTTGCCAGACTTTTTATAGATGGATCCGGTGCACTAAATTGAGATGAGTGTGTGAACAATGTTAGACTTTGAAAAACTATATATTTATTAGGCATACATGTGATTCTTTCCATTTCAAATAAGAACCAAATACTTAAAAGTCAGGTAACTTCCATCTTAATTGAGGGCATAGAGGTTGATTGAAGGGAAATCCCCAATTAATTTGTACACTTCTTGAGATAAAGGAATTGGAAAACATTCCTTTCCCCCTGTAATCAAGTAAGACTCTAAAGGGATATAAAGTGGATTTTCTTCTCATTCCAAAGCAGGCTTTGCTCCAATCTTCTATTGTTGTAAGATGTCAAATTTCATAAACAGTTCCTTTAAGGACTGGATCCTTCCAGTCTAAACAGTTGCTTTTGCCAAGCAACCTTTTAGTCAGAATCTGCTCTCTCTGGGCTGGTAGACCAGACCTGTGCTCCTCTCAAGGACATTTTTTTAGCAGGTGCAGTGTGATATTCTTCACAGCCAGCATGGTCTCTGTGCAGGTGGGTTTAATGAGCACTTCTGGCAGTAAAAATCCAAATTGCCCAGTGTCTCGCAGTTCAAAAGCAAATGCATAGGGTATTCCATTTTTATAAGCCCAATCCATCGAGTTACCGGAGCTTACGTCTAAAAGTTAAAAAGAAAGAGAGATTCACTTCACTGAAGAGTCTGCATCCATTTACCTCCCTCATCTCTCTCTCTCTCTCTCTCTCTCTCTCTCTCTCTCTCTCTCTCTCTCTCTCACACACACACACACACACGTTCATGAAGTAGCACGCCACTAAGAATGATGTAAGATAGATGGCTAAGCAGGTGAACTTGCTTCAGAGGACATGAGTTCTATCACGGAACCCATGTAGAGACGGAGGACACCGAGTCCATACACTTGTCCTATGACCCCCATAGGCATGCTGCCACACACAAAGTAATAACAAACAAAAATTAAAAGAATAAGTTAGCAGTAGTTCTTCCACATGGATCTGGCTCATGGATCTTACAAATCACACTTGCTGTCATCTTCGGGGATCTGGTCTAATCGGGAACGCTGTGCCAAAGTGATGCTCTCAAGGTTTCCCAGCCTCAGTTCCCACCACACTTCCCTTCACCCTCGCTTGGCTCACTTTATTCACCGATCAGCAATCTACCCTGAGAACCGCTGTTGCTCCTATTACTAAGTTCTTTTCTTTCAAGGCCCCTATTCCCTTCACCTCTCCAGCCTGCTGAGCCCCTTCCTGCCCTGTGAATTCTGAGGACAAACTCTGCTCCTTATGTTTGGTACAGCAAACACTCTACCCACTAATCCACCGAGCATTCAGTGCCTTTTATTTATTTATTTATTTGAGACATTTATTTATTTGTGTAGCCATGCTGGCCTGGAACTCGCTCTGTAGACCAGGCTCATCTTGAACTCAGAGAGATCCGCCTGCTTCTGCCTCATGAATGTTGTGATTAAAGACGTGGGTTACCACCATATGGCCTTTTTTTCTTTTTTTTTTAAATAAGAAAAACAAAAAACAAGCAAAGAAACAAACAAAAAACAAACAAACCCCCAACAGAGTCTCACATAGCCCCAACCTGGCATGGAACTTGCTATGTGGACTAAACTGGCCCAGAGCACACTATATAGACTAAGATGGCTTTAATCAATCTGCTTTCCTCTACCCCCAGTGTGCTGGGATTGCAAATGTGTATCATCCATCATGCCTGGTAACGATATGCCTCTTAATACAATTCCCTAGGATAAGGTATAATGGGCTCATTATATGAAGAGGACAACCAAGGAACTCTGCTACCTCTTAGACTCTTCTGGCTTTGGCCAAGGGCAGAAAATGTGCTGTGGCTACAGTGTCCGTCTGGATGGAGTACAGAGTACAAGCACAGATAGCAGGTGCCAAGCATTACATCATGGTGATGTGACAGGCTCATTTCTATGGTGACAGATTGTTCTCTGTCAGTATAAAACTGTGGCTGTGCTTTGTACCAAAATGAACAGGGTGGCAAGACTTAGAAAGTGATTTAGAAGTGTCAATATGGGTATTACATCAGTATCAGTTGGTATGTGATTGATTGTAAATATTACTTTCCCCCTTTAAGCTAGCTACTAAATAGCGGGTCTAAAGTCAGGCAAAGTAGCCGTGGCGGGGACAGGATGATGGTAAATTTAAGGTACACTTTGGCTATATATTGAGACCACGTAATGAGGCAGGGAGGGTGAGTAGGACGGACAGGGAAAGGGTGAGCCAGAGAGAAAAGTATGTGTGGTGTGGTGGGTATGGGGGGGGGAGAGGGAGGTGGGGTGATATAAGGGGAGGAAGTTAAAACCATCTTAAAAGTTCAGCGTGGACCTATCATCACAGGCTATGGAGTAAACCCATCGATACTTGTGCCCTTCGATACAAACTTACTTGATCTGTAATGTTAATAAACAAATTGACCTTTGTTGAAGAAAATAGGAGGTAAGACAATAAGACTATGTAAAGAAACCAAGGAGAAATTTAACCTTACAGAACACAATCAGATTCCAGCTATATATACACAAGATACACAGCCTGGGATCACATGCACACAGACGTCCGAGTATGCGTGATTGCTCAACGAATTGTAGGAGAAATGATGTCATCCAATTACTCATGTTGCATTTGGAGAAATTAAAAACAAGAATTAATCAACACGCTGGCCAGGCCAGCACATCGGGCAGTTCAGGAATGGAATCCATACCATTCAGTATCCAAGTTCTTTCCATCCACTTGGTTCCTTTTGATTTTATGTAAAAGAAATACTTTCAAATCCATCTTCAGGAGAAAATGAAGATGAAGAAGCGGTATATGGAATGGCATTTCATAACAGGAGTGCTGGAGATAAAGGGCAAAGGGGAGCTGTTGGAGAGCTGAAACATTTACCTCATTATCTTCCCGAGGCCATTTCCACACTTACAGTACTCACAAATTGCTTAAGGAGCCCATTTTGGTACTTTCCACTGTCAGGGGATCTCAGTTCAACTTACAAGCTTCACTGAATGCTTAGCATACTCTCTGCTTTGAATCGCTCTGAATCAGTACAGCCATTTTTGTCAAGCTGTGGGAAACGGATCAGGTGTCAGCTCTTCCCATCTTCTTTGGCTAATCAGATCGTCACAAATTTTGCTTCAGGGAGAACACACTTTTCTTCTTAAAGGGAAGTCATGGCCCAGGATATTGGTTCAAGAGAGACGATTCTATACAACATGCACAGGAAACTTACACAGTGTTTGGGAGGCAGGGCCATGTCTGTACCGTATCCCATGTGCTGACCGAAGGGCCTTCACAGCTTTGTGAGCTGCAAATTCCTATGGGGGTGAAATGGAGAAACCGTGTTACTTATATTGCTGCATTGAAACTTCTAGAAACACTGGCATATTGCTTGAACCTATCAGTGGTCAAACAGAGAGAGAGAGAGAGAGAGAGAGAGAGAGAGAGAGAGCAGAGAGGTCTCATTAGTTAATAGCTGTATTTAGTAATAATAATGTGTTGTTAATAGTACATTTTGCAACATACTTTATTATTATTATTATTTTTACAGTGTCAAGGATCAAAGAACATTTTAAAACACATCTTTTGATTTGGTTGATCCTCATACAAATCAATGATAAACAGCAGTTCTATTTTATAGATGAGAAAATGAATTCTTGGGTGAGGTTAAATGGGTATCCTGGGGTGACCCAGCAAAGGTTGGGTGAGCAGTCCTGGAGTCACTTATGCATTCATCCTCTGCCCTTTAGTTCAGGAGCACTTATTTCTGTGCATTACAAAATAGTGGACAGGGCTGTGACAATGTCAGTCTTATCTCTAATTCACCTCCTGTCCTTAGCAACATGTCTGTATATATAACAGATACATAACCAATATCACTCATAGGAATGTTGAAGAAACCCAAGTCTGCAAGAGTATTCAGACAATCACATTAATCCACAAGTATATATTTCAGTATGTACATACAGATACTTCAAATGCACCTGGATCAATTAAGAAATCATCAAGGAACACTGGTTACCTTTATGCCACATGTTTGTTCCTACTGGGAGCAAGGGATATCAATGTCATGACACTTCCTGACTTCTGAGGTTACAGAACCTCCCACGAGGCTAAGTCAAGCTGCTGCAAAGATGCAGAGAGTCAGGGGAAAAACAACACACACACACACACACACACACACACACACACACACACACACACACACCGCTCAGCAGGGTCAAAGTCTTACATGGAGGATATTCTAGCAGAATAGTACTGTTCTTTAAAACCTTTCCAGATGACATCAATGGACTAGTTTCAGCAAGGCTTCAGGCTGGTGTTAGATGACAAAGGAGAGGAAAAGAAGTGTGCTGAAGCCAGCACACAACTCTCCATTTCAATCTGCCTGTGAATAATTTAACACTTCATCTGAAGCACGCCAGGAAGCATGGTGTGTGGTGGGGTGAGCCTCGGGTTGCTGTCCTGGTTAAGCTCACGGGTACACGCAGCGTTGTTTGGGGCTTTGTGGCTACTCCAGGGCAGGTCTCTAGGCACTGGCAGGACCATTTCATAGTGACCTCACCGATGGTGACATTCTCGCAGGAGCCAATGGAAAAGAAATGGAAACAAATGGGAAATTTCAAGACTGTCTCCAACAGTCTTAGCAATATTCTATGATGAATGTAGATGCTTCTGCAATTAGAAGATTACTGCACTTTGCTGGTCAGGAGACTTGTGTCTTTACTATTTTTGATGACTATGAAAAAATATATTAAGAAACAAAGCGCCACTTTACTTATTCAGACAAGGTATGAGCCTAGTAGTAACTGTTATTATGTCAGGGCCGGGTACAAAGGCATGGGATTCATTGTGGACTTTTCAAGCACGCATCATAAGACTTTGTTAGAGCCCATCCTCTCCCCCATTTTCCCTGTCCCCTCCCTCCCTGTAGACTCCTTTCCTACTTTTATGCCACATGTATTGCATCCCCCTCTCTCCCCCATTTCCTTACAGTCTCTTCCCCCACTTTCATGGTCCTAGAGTTTCCCAACCAGTAAGGACACCCATTCCCGCCCCCATCCCTGTCCCCCCCCCCCCCGAGAGGTTTTTGGATTGAGGCTCTTCCTATAAGAGAAAAACAGGAGGCATTTGTCTTTTCTGGGTTGGCTTATTTTGTACCATAATGATTTTTAGTTTTATTTTTTTCTTTTCCTGCAAGCGTCATGCCTTTTCTTTACAGGTGAATGTCTATGGGGCTGCTCCCATGTCCTGGCTATTGTGAATGAACATAGATGTTGCCTTAGTCCTTAGGACATGTGCCCAAGACTAGTCTGCCAGCTCTTGTGGTAGTTCTGCTTTTAGTTTTGGGGGAACCTCCACGTTGGCTTCCACAGTGGGTGGCGCCACCCACAGAGTACAAGGGTTAGATTTTCACCGTACCATTGCCAGCATTTATTGTTGGTTTTCTTGCTGAGAGTGGGTTTATGTGGTAGGAGCCCCCAGTCTCTTCCCTGGGCTGCCTGCTTTCCTTACAGATGAGGCTTCTATCCCTGCCACACCGTGGCCCCCACCTATTCCTATCCCCGCGCCCACTGGAACCATGCTTATCTTTGGCGTCTCCCTCGTTATTGTTCTTTCTGCACTTGTCCTGTATGTGATCATGACCTGTGAGGACTTTGAAGCTATTCCTCCTTTTAGAATGGAGTCTACTTTTTCTTATTCCGATTCTTGTCTTTGACGGAGTCAAATGGAGGCAGCTTCCAGGCTGCCGTTTTTACCCGGAAGTCTAGTTCTAAGCGCTTTGAGTTCACTGCTCTGGTCTTGGGGGTGCACATACTATGCTGATAAGTGGGCTTTCATCTTTCCCCCCAAACTGTTTTCAGAGTGGACCAGTTAGACACCTGCTAAAACGGATCTCTCCCTTTCCCCAACATCTCTTCTTTACAAATGGATATTTCTTGGCCCTCAGCTAAGCAGGAAGAAGCATGTTTTCATTGAAATATTTCCATATTCACAGGAGTTTAATGGATGACTTTAAGAAGTTATTGGAAGCACAGACTCTTACATATTGGTGGAATATTTTTAAAAATTTTAATAGGATGTAATGATTTCTTATTAACTCCCAGGGGTTTCTTAGTTTCTGAAAATTTTTCATCTTAGTTTTAGTGATTTAGCTTATGCTTAGCCCATTTCAGATTCCTCCCTCTCACTCCAAATACCTTTGTATTATAAGTATGAGTGAAGTATGTGTTGGTGTGTGCTTCTCTCTCTCTCTCTCTCTCTCTCTCTCTCTCTCTCTCTCTCTCTCTCTCGTGTGTGAGTGAGTGGTGTGTGTTTAAGGTCGGAGTAGGTGTTGGGGTTCTCATTTATCATTCTGCCACATCCTTTTGAGGGAAGGTCTCTCTCTGAGATGGGAACTCAGTTGTTTTTTTTGGCTAGGCTGATTAGCCAGCATGCCCCAGAGATTTTCATATTTCTGTTCCCCAAAGTGCGGGGATTACAGATGTATATAAGACCACACTGGGGTTTTTACATGGCTAATGGGGACTTGAACTAAGGTCCTTGTGTTTGTACAACAAGCACCCTTAACCTTTGAGCCATTATCTTGACAGTCTCTACCCCAGATGTCAAAACAGTGTCATTCTTGAGTTGTGGATTGAATGATGGATTGCTGGGGTTGGGGTGGGGTTCAGTTCTGTGCATTTCAGAATGTTTAGCAGTATCCTTGGCCTCTGCTCCATAGATGGCGATTGCATCCCCCATCCCTATTGTAGAAATCTAAGAAAGGGAGTTGAATTACCAATGGGCAATACTTTGGCTGATTGTGCCATGTTAAGGGAAATCTAATACCCCTGGACAATGGGGTCTGCAGTCTTCTGCAGTGATCACATAGGAAGAGCTGGAAGGAGGCAGGCTCTGTGGCCTCCTGCCTCTGCTGAGCCTTGCAGAACGCATGCTTTCTCTTTGACTATTCCTGGGTTATGTGTTTTATATGTTGGTAACAGTGAGTAAAACATTTCTCTGGGATCTGTGAATTGTTCCAGGAAATTATAGGAACTGGGGAGGCAGGGCCTGGGAACCTTGAACTCTTTAGCTACACAAAAGTGTGGACATCCCGTGCCTGAGGTTGGTCTCTCGGGGTGGATGCCATCTCATGGGACGTCATTCTTAACTTGCGGAGTCTGATGGCCACTCTGGGTAGTTAGTGTCGGCTGCTTGGTTGGTGTTGGAGAAATGATGTTGTAAAAGGCACCACACATTAGTGTCAGGGGTTGAAGAAGAAACAACCACAAACATTAAGTATACAGCGCAGTAAATGAACACACATTGAACACATGCCTGCAACCTGCCAGGTCAAGGAATAGAATATCAACAATAACCCAAACTCCCTATGCTTCCCCTAGTCACCTCACCCCTCCCTTTCCCCCTAAGGTAATTGCTGTTGTGACTTCTAACACTATTTATTAGTTTTCCTTGGTTTTCAACTTTGCCATAGGCTCTGAAATGGCTCCCTTCACGGTGAATTATGCCCTGTGGGGAGCAGCTTGTTGCATTAGTGAGATAAGGAAAAGGGATCTCATCTTGTCTTTATGCTTTTCTGCACTCTAGCCCATCCATCCTTAGCACTGTATGTTAGCCATGAGCCCAGAGACTTAGCAGCATTAAATGAACAACACTTAAAAATTACAACTTGCTTTTAATTATTGAGTCAGACTATAATTTATGAACAATTATTGAGTCAATAAAGTTAATTACAGCCCTGCATATGTGACCAAAGCTATAATAGTAATCAAGTCCACCCTGACCTTTTGTGTGTAACCTGTGGTAAGAATGTAAAATAGGTTTGAAATGATTGCATTTGGGAAGCAGTGTAGCAGTTAAAAGCATCAATCCTGGAGCTAGACTTGGGGCTGAATCTTGGCTACAACTCTGAGAGTTCTTAGCCTCGCTGTTTAATGGTCTCAATTTTCTCAACTGTAAAATGGGACTAAGAAAATTTATAAACAATAAATGAGTTCACGGCTGTACGATGCATGGATAGACACGTCTGCCTCCACCACTAGTACTCAGAAGCGCAGCCTCAGAAAGAAGACCGCCGGGCCTGACACACACATGCGTGAGCACATACGTACCACACAGCTGAAGTTGGGGATGGTTGCATGCTTGTAAGAGTAGGGATACAGCAGCATCTGTGCATAGGCGTGGAAGGAGAGGTATGCCGTGATATGTTTCCTGTGTTTTCGGAGGAAGTCAGCGACAGCCTTCACCTCTGGCTCAGACTCTGGGAAAGGACCACAGTAAGTATCATCACAAGGGTGGGCAGAGGCCCCTTCATCTGCAAGTCAGAGAAGAAAATGTGTTGGGGGTCCAGGCAGGGAAGAAACCAGAAACACAAAAAAGCATTTTTAAGCTGGGCCTTTTCTTATTTCTAAAATTGGTGATATCATTGAGTAAGTAATCCATTTTCTCATTGCTGAGATCAATAATGACCATTTTGAGTTGATGTGAGCCCACGCACTGTAGGAGGCCTGCATGGGGCCAGGTGCTGGTTGTTTAAAGCTTTAAGAGACAGGTTGAATGAACATCTCTCCCAGCTGTTAGTTCTCTTGTCGGAAAAATAATTCTGTGTAATCCCCTCCAGCAGGCTAGGCTTCTAATTTATATGCCCCACAATACCTGTACTTTCTTTTCATAACATTGACCGCACATGAAATTAGTGTTCAATATTTAGCTGCTTAACATTCAGCCAGGGTTTACACTGCCCTAGAAGCCTGGGATACAACGGAAGCAACACAGGAAAAGAACCTCCGTTCTGTTAGACCCTGCATTGCCAGGGATCTTTGCTGAACTCCTACCTGTTGCTGGATGCCTAGCAGTCAGGACAGTTGTACGCAAAGTGCTCTATACATGTTTACTGGAGAACTCAATGTCCAGTCATAAGAAAAGAGCAGACATCCGAGTACACAGATCTTGATAGAGAGAGAACATGAGAGCAGAACACACAGCTATCCAAAGTCCTTTGTATGTTTAGATCAGAGATGTCTAGACCGGTTTACAAAAACCTGGGCATACTTCTCATTTTGGGAATCCACTGTGTTAAAAAAAAAGTTAAAATAAATTTTATTTATTTACTCATTTATTTGTATTATTCTTTTGAGATAGGCTCTCATGAAACCCAGGCTGGCATTAAACTCCTAACTGTCCTCCTTTAGTACCCATAGATGTCAGGGGGATTATAGGTGTGAGCCACCGTGCTTGGCTTCAATTTTATTTTTTTAACATTTGTTTCAATACCATTTTTGTACAGAGAAGGCTTATTAAGAGGCCCGTGGAGGGGATGGCAAAAGCTAAGAAGGCTCTAAAGCACCCACAGAGCATTGCGGTTCTAAGCAAACAACCGGCCTCTACAATCACCTAACTCATGCTTAACACATGGCTTGAGTGAATACAGCTGAACAAATTAATGAGTTGGTTTGGAGCATTCACAGAAGGGATAAAGGGCTGGAAAATGAGACAGAGAAATGAAAGAATGTGAGAAGTAGAATAAATATCAGCATGATTAAGAGGGGACTAGAAGGACAGAAGTACTAGTAATTAAAATTTCTCCATGATGAAGAGAAAATTAAACAAACATTACTTAGCAAACAAAAGACAGATGGGGGAAAATATGAATACTTGGACACAATAAATTTTAAGGAAAGAAAATAAATCCAGAGAAAAAGATAGGACATTTAGAAAAAGAGCAAGAGACAGATTAACGTTTGACTTTTAAAATATTATTTTTCTGTGTGTGTTTGTCTTTGTGTGTGTACACCAAGTTCACGCGTGGTACCAGAGAAGGCCACAAGAGGGTGCTGTGTGGGCGCTGGGAACTGAACTTGGGTTCTCTGCTGCTAAAGCCAAGTGCCCTTAACCGCGGAGCCATCTCTCTCCAGCCTTGACATTCGAGGTTAGAACAGTAGCATCTGGGCTCTTATGTCTAACAGTCATTTTTCCTTTCAGTGCTGGCGTCAGGTCCGGGGCCTTGGAAGTACGCCTCTCCTCAGCTCTGTCCGTAGCCCTTGAGTTTTAGACAGGGATTTGTCATGTAATTCAGCTTGTTTTCAAATCTTTGATTCTCCTATATCCACCTCAGGGCCGTCCGGCCGCACCACCTCAGCTGGCTTCAAAGTTCTGTTTTGTTTTTTAAAGGAAACTTGAATCTCGAATTTTTATCTAGCTGAGCTCTGTTGAAATGTGAAAGTGAGATCAAATATGTTCTCCGGCATAAAAGGCTCCACAAGCTATACTGTGCTCTGATACTCTTTGAAAAATTCCTGGGGAAAATGTTTCCATAAAGTAATACAATAAAAACTATCTTCTAAAAGTCCACAATTCAATTCTTTTAAAGATAATTATTGAGCTGTGTAACTGCCACTACCGAATTCTAGAATGTTTCGCATTACTTCAAAAGCCTTACTTCCTTCGGTAATGTGTATGGTTAATATATATTAGTCAAAAATTTAAAAAAATCAAATTTAGAATGAAAAGATTTTCTAAAACATTCTAAGCAATGCAAACTGCTGGGAGATGGAACATGGGGATCAGAGGGGGTAAAAGTATACTGAAATCCTGTATAATTTAAAAAGTTTTATATTTGCATATGTTATACATAATAATGGATTTCATTATGACCCTTCCATAAATGAATATAATATATTTTGATTGCATTTGTCTTCAATTACCTTCTCTTGCCTCCCTCTCACTCATGTTACATTTGTCTTCCCGATTTTAACTCACTTTTTCCTTTTGTCTTCTTCCTTCCTTCCTTCCTTCCTTCCTTCCTTCCTTTCTTTCATGCATGTGTGAAACAATATGTTTAGTTACAAGTTACTTGCAGGAGCATAGACAACTTGTAAACCACTGAAGAAAATGCTTTCCTCCCCAGCAACCATTAACTGCCTATATTGACCATCAACCTCATGGCTATGGCTTTGTAAGTCTCCCTCCCCCTAGCAACCATTAAATGCCAACCAATACCTTCTCACCCCGGCTCCCACAACAGTTAAGAGATCTGGTGAGCTCCCCTGGAAGGTTGAGAGGCCCAAGGAGATGCAGATATTGATTAAACTTAGAAATTGATATTGAAAAGCCTAAGTGTGGGGCTTGGGAACAACAGGAGAAAATTAGAACACAAGCTCACGATTAACAGGAGCTACTATACAATGCCTAGCAGAAAATAAGAAAGGAGAAAACACAAACGGTGGAGAACAGGGCAGGAGGAATAAGATGGCAGGAACAAGTCTCAAGGTAGCATTGATTACAAAGATACTTTCCTGCAGAAAAAAAACAAGATCCAGCCATACCGTGTCAATGCAACGAAGCTGTAGCAGAAGCAGCAGGTGTCTACTTAAAGTACTAGGGCAGCTTGGTGCCTCCTAGGCGGAAATGCTGCAAATTGGTTGGAGTCGTGCAATAGAAATGCGACTTTTGTCGTTGTTGAGATGGGCAGTGTAAAATCAAGACTTCAGCAGAGCTGCCCCTCCCCGCTGCGTGCTCTCGGGAAGGGGCCTTCCTCGCCACCGGGTTCCTGCCACGCTGGTTTGTAGATGTGTTTGTTGCCTTGGTTTCCCCTCCTCTTCATGGTCTTTACTGTGGTCTTCCATAGGCTCATTTGTTGATCATTTGGGCGGTCATGGGAGTTTTAGGAGGGAGTAGATCCTTAGGATATGCTGTCCCTAGCCCTGGCCTCTCTCCTCTCTCTCTCCCTCTCCACTTCTTGCCTGCAATGAATACGCTCCTCTACTGCATACTCTTTCTGCTGTGATGTTCTGTTCAAACGCACAGGCCAGGGACGATGACCCCGAACCCTCTCAAATCAAGAGCCAAACTAAACCCTCCTCCCTTCAGCTGTTTATGGCATTATGCCGAGGCTGTGTGTCACAACACTGGGTGTCCTTCTGTGTGACTCTGTTCCTCTGATTAACTCCAGAACTCACTCTATATCAGTACCTCACTCCACAGATGATTCCAAGCACATTTCTATGTTCCAGGTTCACATGGATTTTGGAGAACCCACATCCCACTGCAGTGTTGTGAGGGATCATCTTGCAGTAAAACATCACAGCAGAAAGAGCAGGAGGCAGTGAAGTTTATTCATGGTGGGGGGCGGTGAAAGAGAGAAAGGAGGGGGATTAAAGAAAAGGAGGGAGGGAGAGAGGAGGGAGAGGGACACACACACACACACACACACACACACGAGCCTAGAGACATACCTTCAAACACCTATCCCCAGTGACCTACTTTCTCCAGACAGGTACCATGCTCTAAAATTCTCTTAACTTTTCTCGACTAAGTCCTTTTTAAAACACATTCCTAGAGTCATTGTTTATGTCCGTGGTTCAAGTAGAGGAGACTGGAATACACTAGATTTTTAAAACCAACTTAAAAAAAAAAACCAATAGTGTAATTTTATTTACATCATTCTTTCTTATGAGACTGCTTCATAAAAAGCAATATACTATGAATATTACCAAACAACCCCTTATTATCATGTTATAAAGAAAATTGTAACTATCTACAATCAGGAGACCAGACCATGTTTATGAATATGATGAGAGTATTATAAAGATGCCAGCTCTCCCCTATTTACTCTTTTTGTCCTCTAGAATTGCAACAAAAATTCCACCATCAGAATTTTTGGAGAATATAACCTCTAATTTTAAAATATTTAATTTTTTGATACTTTAGGTTTTAAAAATAAAATTCATTGAGCTATAACTTACATGATGTCTCACCATCAACCAACACCACAGTCGAGACAAAGGGCAAAGGGCAAAGGTCAGTTACATGTTTCTTTCTCTTGTTCTTTTCCAATGTGGGAATTGAACTCGGGGTCTGACACATGGTTGGTGAACTCAGGCTCTCACACATGGTAGGCGTGTGCAGGGTCTCACACATGGTCGGCAAGTGTTTGGCTGCTGGGCTGCTCCTACCCTTAGTGCTCTCTCTCTCTCTCACTCTCTCTGAGAAGGGCATCCTGTTAAGTTACTCAGGCTAGCCTTGAACTCTGCGAGGCAAGCCTGAACCCTTGCTAACACGTGCCTTATGCTCCCAAGCAGTTGCATCATCAGACTTCAGCTCTCTTTTGCAAATGAGTAAATTTGTTCTGCCCTGTTCCTTTGTCTTTGGACACAAGCTTTAGCTTAAGGGTTCTATAATGGTCTGTAAAGGTTGCAGTATACTACCTTTGGGTAGATGTCATATGTGTCTACATAATGAAGTTTTTCCATAGAAGCTTTATTCAAATCCGCTTATAAATAATGGAGTACTCTCACAAAATTAGCTGAAAATCCC